GCCCTGCTGCCGGCGTGCTGCCGCGGGGGCACCGGGGCAACGCTAACCGCCCGGCCTAGAAGGGCCGGGGAACTGCAAAACCCAGATCTCTTTAAATATATGAAATCATATTTGCAAGAAGGAGCAGAAGGCAGGGTCCAGGCAGGAACACATGGATGTTTAAGGGTGGTAGCAGCACTGTACCTTGGGATGTGCTCCCTCCACCTAACTTTAGGTACGCAGGAGCCTGGGCACTTCTAAATCCCAGAACTGAAGGCAGGAATCTAACTTACTGCCTACAGCTGGTGCTTTGCTTTGCGATCTATGCAGACATTTACTTTCACAAGTGTTGTTTAGGGAACATGACCCCCCACATCATGATACATACTAGAGCCCAAGTGCTCACTCACAAGCTCACAATGCCTGGAACATATACAACACCCTTAATGCATTAATCTCAGTTCATCTTCAAAACACTCAAGTAAATTGAGGTCCATGCCATTCTGCAAGGTATGAGTATATTAAAACTGCACATGCAATAATCTGCACATGTGGTAAACAAGGATGTTAAATAGCTAACTCTTGTCTTAACAACAAATCTCTGAGAGAAACAAGAACAGAGTTCAGCTAGGACAATGTCTCATCTTGGAATTCCTCTCTGCTTGAGCGGAGATTGTTGTTATCAGCAGAAACTTAAGAACACTGTATTTTCATCTCCTGTGCTGAGGAAATCATCCAGATGAAGAGAGAGAAGAACTGCCAACATCTAGGGATCTAGGAGATGGGCATGCCTCCTCCTAACAACACCTGGAAATATGGCATACTCATGCTTGGCTACACTTTTCACCTCACAATGCTAGAATATACACATTTTGGTCTATAGAGCCCAGCCCCACATGTTAATTACAGAAAACATTCCAAAGTCACTAAAGTTTTTGAGACCCTGGATTGCAAGAGAAGGCCTCTGACTGTTAATGAAAATCTATCACCAGCCAGCAACATCTGAAAGATGAATTCTTAGCCCGAAAATACTGTTAGATAGCTGGCCTCAGTCCAGTTCATCATGGACAAGTGCCCACATTACAAAAATGATATCAGTTTGGCATTAGTTGGCATCCTGTTGACAGTTTCAGCAAAGAAACCCAGAACTGAGTTGTTATGGAGACACAACTTTCTTTCCTCAGTAACTGGAAGACAATATGGAGGAACCTGTACTTCTAACACCTCTCTTGAAGATTTGTTGTAGGCAATGGACTGAAGTCATAAGGTCTATTAAACTATTTCACTGTGAAGCATTTGCTCCCTAAATCTACAAATTTGCTACATAAAAGAATTATCAAATAAAGTAACAGTGAGAAAAAAACCCCATCCTTTGTGTTACTCTATTATGCTCATGGTCTTATGCTGCTTATGAATTTGACCCCAAGTGTTTAACCTGCTTAAACTCCAAGGGCTGTTTATGAGTAGTATCACAAGTCTTTTTGAAACAACCAAGAGAAATGGGAATTAAAACAGAGATGTCATTTCAGGACTGGCCACCCCCAGGCTCAATTCTGAAGCAATCAAGGCCTGAATCAGTCTCCAGTGCATTTCAGAACAGCCTATGGAGACAGACAATGCTGCACCATGGCTACTTTTTAAAAAAAATCCCTTTTATTCAGGTAGCCTAATTCTGTATTCTTTGCTGCACCCCATTTATTCCAATTTACTGCAAGGAATCACACTTGTCTCAGTGAAAAAAATTACAAAGCAAATGAATGGTTTTGAAGGGTGATTAAAAACTGAAAAGAAACAAAATGCGGTAACTAATAAAGCCATTTACTTCAAGTATATTCTAATGTGAAGGATACTATTCCCAGAGCATAAAACACAAAGAAAACACAACAAGAAGGAGCATAAAAAAGTTTAAAAAAGGTAAGCAGCATTTTCATGCTTTTGCTTTCTTGCGGATCCCAATTACCTGACTTCAGGATAACTTCAGATGTTTGTTAAACATTTCTGTTAAATTAAACAAATTGCTATTAGTTGAGCAAGTTATTGATTGTCCAAGGAAATGGCCATTGTTGGAAATAGGCATATTTCGAAATATAAAGCATATACATATATATGTACACACACATATATAGATGCATATAGATATACACGCATGCACATATCATCCTCAGAAGATTTCAATGTCATTTTCCTAAAGCTTATATAGAGTCTTTCATTTAAGGGTATACATATTTCATATCTTCTTTTGGAGGATTTATGATAAAAATAGGAAATAATACACAAGTGTTTATATGCCAGTTTAACAATAAGTTTAGCACTGACTTTTTCTGCTCTTCAGTCACAGATCAAACTAGAAAATAGAAAAGTAACTTTCATACTTGAAATGGGTTGGTGTGTGTTTTGTTTTTTTCTGGTGTTGTCATTTTCAGAACTAGAAACTTTATTTCTGTAGCTTTTTGAAGATAAAGTGCTAAGAAAAGCAACTAATGCTAGTTCCTAACATTATAGGAACTGTACAAATAAAGAACAATGAATAATTGTTTCCACTCCAAAGTATTACCCTATCTCTTCATAACAAAGAGCTAACCCTGTGTTTCTTTTCAATGTTAAACAAAGAGGAGGAAAACAAAGAGCTATTTATAACCTAAGAATGCTTATATAATTTCTGTTGAAAGGTCAAAAAATGTCTCCCGCATTTACTTTTAGAAGTAAATCAGTTTTGGTCATCTGGTTATATCCTTTAACACTTTTATTTCACTACATAAAACAAGCACCTATGGTAAATATCCTCTTTGGCTAACCGTGCTTTGGACTTTAATAATGTATTCCCTCTGAAGTTCTGAGAGTACTTTGCAATCATTCACTCAGCCTTGTCAAATTCCTGGGTGGCAAGTTAATATTAGCCTATTTTACAAAACAAGAAAATAAGCAGCAGAAGTGCAGTGACTTGTCCAAAGTTACACAGGAAAGTTAGTAGCAAAACTGGGATTAGAATACATGCTTACTCTGTAATACAAAGAGGGTACTATGCTTCCTCTTCAGAAATCTTAGAGAATTCCACAGAGGATTCATTTATATTTTTATTGTAATAAACTATGGTCCAGAAACAGGTGACCATCAGTAAATTATGCTAAGCAGTGCTTGAAACAGACTCAAATTCAGGATATATTTTCAGGTTTAAAAAAAGCTGAAGTGGCTTTAATGGTAAGAGCAATTAAAACAATACTCAGAAGCTTTTTGGAGGGGGTGGGGGATTTGGAGGATACATAGTAAGAATGGAAAAAGAACTCAAATACCTGAATTACATTATCAGTACTGAAAGTATGCTTACAATTTTAGAAACTTTTAATATTTTGAATATCACATTATTTATGTTCAATAAAAATTATCAGTATGTCTTTGTTAGGATGAAAAATACGCAGATGATGCAAGCAGAAAGACTAAGAA